TAGGTTGTAATAGTTGGATGTATATATACAAAGCAATGACATAACTCTTTGTTATTTTATTAAATCATTTTAGAAGTGATTAAATAATTAATAGGGTTTGAAAGAGGAAGAACAAGGTTCTGATACCCGATCGTGAAATATTGTATGACTGTACTCCTTTATGCGTCAGACAGTTACTTAAATGAAATCTGAGAACTTTATTTTTATTTTATGAACGTGTCATATGTGTTTTTATATCTCAATAAAAAGAAAATCTTTATCTGAAAAGTAACAAGTAATTATAATATAGTCAAAAAATGGCAGCATAAAACGGAAAAAACAGAACCTCAAAGTTGTACTTAAGTACAGTACTTGAGTAGATATATTTACTTAGTTACTGTCCACCACTGCTTGCACTCTGGGGTATTTCATGCTTTATGTAATACTGCAATGCAGTTCAGGGGGAACTATTGCACTTGCTGTAGATTAGACTACTTTACAGTTTGTAAAAAAGGTAACATTAGCTCCACCTCAACCAGCTACAAGATGAAAATGATGACACATTAAAGTCTTATATTCCAGTAATAAATAAATGAATAAAATCTTTAATTGTATCACACCTCACAGGGGCCATTTTTATGAATTAAAGGTGCTTTAAGATACCATAAGTAGATACTTTTTCATGTGTACATCCATTTCTAAAGACTTTTATTAAGGGGGCACATGAAGTTACAGAAGAAGAGGACATTGCAGCAACAGTCTGATTTGAGCTTTGTATAAGAAACTCCATCCTTCCATTCATCATTCATGCTTGCATCTTTAAGTGTCCACTTGTCCTTGGTGTTGTCCTCTTTTGTCACACGCACACCCACGCATTTCAAACACTCCACATCTGCCTTCAACTATTAACATTTTGGTGCGTATGCTTTCAGTTTTAGATGTATTTACATCCTTTGTTGCTCTGCGATGCACTTTGCGAGCAACCTGCTTTTTGTTAAAAGCACTTTGTCGATAAATTTGACTTCCCTCGACACTCAATACTGAGTCCATTAAGCCGCAGAGCCATGGGGCTACTCTGTGAGCAAGGGCCACTGGTTCCAGTAAGGTATATCTGCTGAGCTCTCATTAGCAAGCATCATCATACGTAATTCTGGCACGTGTAATGCCATTAGAGGGGATTTGGCATCTGATAGTTGAGTAATGGGATTAGCTGGGCAGTAAATCTCCAGGACCAGAACTGTTGGTCTTCCCCACTCAAAGGAAGACAGACAGACACACAACCCAACTCGCCTTTCCCACATGAGCGCAATGCAAGTAATCTGTTTGCCATGGCCGAATGCTCCAGCTTTGTTGGAGAACGCAAATCCTGTGGCACTCATTTTCAGACACTCTCTCCTGGAAGACATTCATGATGTTGTACTAATGAAAAGTGACAGAAATACTTGTGCCAAGAATGACAAAACAGAGAGAAGTTCAAACCCTGGAATGGTGGGTTTCTCCTAATATGACGTTGGAAAAGTGTGGGAGGAGGGGTTTCAGAAGCTATTCGACCATCTGACAAGCACTTCTGATGGAGTATATTGGCCTCTGAATGCCCACAGTTTCAGGCCTTTTCCACCAGCAGGAAACCAGCTCCACACTGTTTCAAGTACCTCGTTTTGAACCATTTGGAGCATTTTGTCCAAAATCGGAGAAGTTGGTTCCCAAAAAAAAAAGCCGGTTTTCCTTGGTGACCAGAGTGGGCATGTCATATTCTATACAGGTCGTTGTGCATCGCGCTCTGTTGCTGATGCATCCGATTACTATGATTAACTGGTGAAATTGCAGGCTGGTTCACTTGATAGCACCAAGGTTTCATGAATCCTGAACAGAACCGGATCAAGAACCAGATTTTGGAACCAGTTTGGTTGAAAAAGCCCCATGAGTGTAAGGACTTTTGGTTCAACTAAACTGTATTTCTAATGCACATTTTAAAGTATTGCATTAGAAAAGGTTGATGGAAATGGAAAAATTCAAAAAGGACTTCATCATTCACAGACAAAGAAAAGTACTGTATGCCATCTACTTTGTGATTTTATATGCTCAGGGTCAATTGGACCTCAGAGAGGCCTAACTCCCTGTTAGATCTCTTATGAATAAACTCTTTTATGAAACAAAAAATTGGGATTTAGAAAGGGTAGCACCATGTAAAAAGTCTTATAATTAAGTAATTTAGAAGGTCATGCAGTATCAACATGATGCAACAATGTCAAGTATGTTTTTAGCTGATCTCCAGGATCCCAAACATCATTAATGTTAATGACGTTATGTTCAACATAACCCCCCCAATAATGTGAACTTTTTTAATTAACGTTAGAAACAGGGTTTCAAATGACCTCGGATGAACTGAGCTTGACTTTTTCATTATTTCTGTCCATTTTTTCCATTATTTCCATTATAAACAGAAGAAGCCTCACACTCGCAACCAGCCATACAAACAAGAAAACCCACACAGTTTAGAAAAATCTCCGTCTTCATTAACATTTACTTGCATTACTGCAGCTGTTACTGTTTCAGTGACCTTGGAGCCAACAGAGATAAACAGAAGTGAATGACAACATGAAAAACACATCACAGAGACTCAACAAGGCCACAGGGTGAGAGAACTGTGTGTTCTAACAGTGTGAATGTATAACATGGTCCTGGAATTAAACTCCTGTTTCAATTAAACAAGTTTGAAGTAAGATAAAATGGCATGGAGACACACTCACAAACAATCATATAAAGATATTTGCATGGGGGGAAAAAAACCCCAAATGAACATATCTTAACTCAAGTTGGCTTTTAGACTTTCAGAGAGTCAATGAGTAAGATGACAGATTAAACATTAATTATTATTTGAGCCATCGACTTGTTTTATTGTATTTAACTGCTTTAGTATTAGTTAATTATAATCCAGTGTGTCTTGTGGCTGTATAAATAAATCCAATTGAAAACCAAGTAAAGATAAAACATTGTGATTATGATCAGCCATAACAACAAAGAGAAAAGTCCATTATATCATTTCAATAAATACATAAAACACTGGCTTATCATCACTGATATCCTGATGCTTTGGGGTCATTTTGAGGTTTAAATCCTGCGGGTGAAGTGTGGTGGTCATGCAACTGAAGCAAGAGTTCATGCAGGGTTCACTCTAAACTCCTGTAATTGAATTAGTTAATTGTTTGTGACGTAAGACAAAGGAAACTAACAATGAAGTGTAATCTGATTGTGCGGCGAGTTGGTGACCGTAAAAGGTCCTAATATGTCATCAGATGCAAGTCGTTTGATGCATGTGTCTAATACTTTTCAGCACAGTGCTCTGCGAAGTGATAAACAGCCCACACATTTCCAGGACAGAGCCGAGCTGTACTTGCTCTTTGAAGAGAGAGTTCATTTGTGATGAAAGTTTTAAAATGGTTGCCAGGGGAATAACATCTACGGGAACTGAACCCTTCACCTGGGCCAGCGTTAGTGCCTCAAGCTCTTAGCATAAAGCTATATACAAGACCGTGTGGGTTTTTTTTTTTGCTGTAGATGAAAGCCAAATGCTCCAATATAGAACAGGTGACTCAGCTTCCAGCTTGGCAGAGAAATCCCCTGAGACCTTTGACCTCCTAATCGTTTAGCAGCGCTTATGGTTGGAGATCTGCTCCAGGCTATTAGAGAGATTAGTGTCACACAGATTTGGGAATGGGCCAACCCTATATCTGTACTTCATGGTATTCTCAGCATTTATTACTGAGCACCCAACACATGTTGAAATCTGATATGTGACTGTATAGTAGCACATACTGCAGTGTGAGGCTATATGTAGGCGCAATATGTGTTGACCTACATAGAGTGACAGGCTTTATGTTATGAGCACGCTCTTAAAATAGGATATATTTTAGTTAAACCTTATGAAGCATCACTCTAATTGTGTGTGGAAGCTGGTTGGGATCTCTTATATTACTCTTTTTTTTTAATATTGGTGTTTATTTTGGACAGAAAAGAACAACAACTTCATAATCCAATATATGCTGTACACACAAATACACAGATTGTAGCCTGCAACAGTCTGTTATCAACACAGACATGTGATAACAACGTGGTAAAGATTTTTTGGGGGGTTATTTCTTATTTGGAGAAAATGAGTCTGACTCTGACCGCCCCTCTTTTCCTGCAACGAAACACGCTGGAGTCCAAAACGAGCAGCCTTCCCGACTTAAAAACAATCCCTACCTCTCAAAGCAGATTCATCAAGTTGACTACAATGCGCCTGGATGTTACCGGAAAGCAGCGATTCTGCCTTCAGAATTAAAAATAAACACTAAAACTGGAAGAAACCATTGGAAAATACAACATTTATTAGGTAATATGTGATTATGGTGTTTGTTTTTATTCTCGAAACAATGTGTGGGGTGGTTAACGTCAGCTAGAAAGTTAAAAACCCATAATTTAATGCAAAATAAGATTCCTATATTCAAGTACAACGGGCAGATTAACCTGTTACAGCTCATTTCATCATTTACACAACATTTGCTGTCGGGCCCCTAGTACAAGCTTATTTATAACTATACTGTAAACTAATAATGAAGGTCATAAACTAGATTTTGGCTCAGGGCCTGACCATTAAGTAACAATACAGGACACCACCTTACTTGATGTGGCGTAAATTCCTGATAAAAAAAATGCAATTACAACAAAAACCCAACCTCCCCTAGTATCATTAATTTGTCTAAATACTGGACTTTAACCACTTCCAACTGTTTGAATGTCAAACAAAACAACATCATTATCATCTGCTACATCACATCAATATCTAATATCCAGTCAAAATGAAAATAATAATAAAACAACGGCGCAATATTGCATTTTGTTCCCAGTCACTCAAATAGGCCCCAACACGCGTTCCTTTGTAACATTTTATTTTGAAAAGCGTCACCGGAAGCTCTTCCACGGCAGTTTGTCCAACCTGACGCGAGTCCAGTGACGCCATCTTGAAAATTTGTCCCGACCGGAGGAGGCGAGGAGGAGACGGACTTGTGAGCACCAGCTCGTCCTAAACTCGGTAGCTGCACATTAGCTACGCGGATTAACGGCAGCTTTAGAGGTTATTGCTATCACACGATAGCGTTTCCACTCGTTTCTTCGAGTCATTTCGACGGAGGGGACGGCTGTTTGTCGCACTTTGGAGCGGACTAACGCGCAGGAGGGAGCCTCGTAAAAACGGTTGTTTCCCGATTGGAGCGGACGGGAGCTGTGGTTGTGGCCGGGTAGCCCCACCGGACTGTCGGGACGAAACCGAGGCTTCCACACGGGATTTAATATATATATATATATATATTTTTTTTTTTGAGTAGGTTGGAAAATGCTCTTTTGAACGCCGCTTTCTTTTTCTAGCTTTTTTTAAAAAAAAAAAAAAAAAAAGCTAACGCGACGCTTGTGTGTGTGTGGAGGAGAAGTTTGATTGGAGAGCGGAGTGCGCTTGATTTCAAGTCCGATGGATGATCGCCCTGCCCGGCTGTGGCTCGGATCTCTGCTCCGCCGGTCTGAAAATAACAGGTTAAAAGGCACAGGTGAACACGTCTGCTCATAACAATGCTGCAGTCCAGCCAAGTACATGACAGCCCGGGCTTGAATGCCAACAAGTCGCCCTCTATTGCTTGTCTGTAAAACCCCTGGAAATACCACCAACCATCCCCTCCTCTTCTTCACCTCCCCCCCTCCTCCTCTTCCTCTTCCTCCCTCCTGTTTTTTGGACTAGTACCTGTGATATTTTGGATTTAAGCTCGATCTTTTGGCATTTATTTTTGTTTTTAAAATGTCATCTCTGCAGAGACAGTGCTCTCTGGAGCAGCAAGACATTTAATTTGACTCAATCGTTTTGAGATTTGTTTCTGTTTTTGGGGTGGGGGTGCTTTTTTTTTTTTTTTTTTTTTTTTTTTTTTTTTGTTGTTTTTTCTCTCCTTCTAGTCAGAGGATCAGATTCGGATGGAAAATGGGAGACGCCACCAAACTGGCCTTCGCCGTTTTCCTCATCTCCTGCTCTTCAGGTGGGTGTGAAGGGAGAGGGGGGGGGGGTTATGCATGCTTTACTGTCAGCCGTGCAATGCTTATTGTTGTCCTCTGCATAGCGCAATGCATAGCGGGTTGTTGTATGTGGGAAAGGGTGCTCTTTTATTTGCGTCCTCCATGTGTGGATGTGCATTTTACATGTTGCAGATGTCAACACTGAGCACAAGATGGGGCCTTGGGACCTCAAGGGGGTCCTACTGGGACATACCACCACTATTCAGAGAGAGTGAAAGGGATGATGAGGGACTGTATCCTCCTAACTTGCAGTATCCATGCTTTAATAGAGTAAAATCTACCACTAAAGCTGTGGATATATGTGTATATTGTCTCTAAAGGTCACAGAAAGTGTTGATTCAGATATAAAACGGTGGGTTTTTTTTTTGTACAGCACATTCTCGCAGTATTACAGCATTTATATCGTCAAACTTTATGGCAACGTGTTGGGATAAAAGTGTCCTAATATCCCAATGGGTGGCTGCTGCAGAGAGGAGAGAAAAGGAGAAGTGGTGTGTTTTGGTTGCAGAGTATAGTAGCTTTGTGGATGTGGGTAGACTTTAAAGTCATTTCCTGTGTGGTTGGTAGACGTCCTCATACAGTTTCATACTGCTTCCATCATTAGGGGTTGCACAATTAGAAGAAATATTGTCCAAGAGCTGTAAAGCTTCGATAAAACAGCCTTATAATGAAGTACTGTAGTACAAATCTTCTCCAGATATAAGAAAACATGATTTTTTAAAAAGAAAATTCAATTTGTGATGATCAGTAATCTGTAATATATAATATTTTTGCCATATTGTGCAGCCCTAGCCATCTTTATATTTTAATAAACACTATCCAAACATCGTTGGACGCTACAGTGGCTACAGCAGCCCATGAACATGAGTGCTGTAGAGGACCTCGAGGCCTCAGTGAACTCGTTTCACCTCCCCAAATGAGACAGCGAAGCCTCGCACGACACTAAAATGGTACTGAGTGAAGCGTATGACCAGGCCCTCCAGTGAGCCAACAAAGTCCAACTGAGACGAGCATCATGTTACCTGAAGTTGTTTATTTCATCGCGGGACAGAAAGGTGACAAACGGTAAACAAGAACCTGCAGAAATAGTTTTTACTCCTCTCCCTGGTTTGACTGCGATTGACAGGAGGCGGAGCCCGGTGTAACCACAGGGAGCGTTTGGGTTGTAAGATTTGTTTGTAAAAGGGGGAGACTAAAATAGGATCTGGAGGCAGGGTTTCCCCCCCTTTATTGTTGTGTATTCGCAGAAGTTGGATTTCTGGGTAAAAGCATTAATATTAGACCGAGAATTACTTTAAAAATAACACTTCCTTTTACTTGCATGCTCCTTTTTCTGTGCCATTTGGTAGTAAAGTGGCAGTGAATTACCCAACTTTAAAAAAATATCCAGTGTCTCTAATTAAGAGTTAAGGAAAATATAATCCCAAGTCGTAGTGGAATTGTCCTTTTTGTTTTTTACAGTGAGCCCTGGGGGCGCCTTTTGAGCGTTTGAGTAGAAATTAAAAGGCGTCTGAAACGCGGTAATAGTTGGGGTTGGTTAAGAGTGTAAGCCAGGTGCAGCAGATGGTTATTCCACTCACTCATTACGATCTGAAGTGGGGGTGGTGTGGGGTGGATGAATGAGTCCTACTTGAGGTGGAATAATAATGCTTTATGAAATCCAAGTTGAATTGGCACGGCTCAAGACGACACCTAGAAACCTCTGATAAGGGCAGGGCACTTAGCCCAGAGTGGTTTTATTTGATGAGGCCTTCTTGCAGCGTGCCAAAAAGATAACATCGACATTTTTATTCAAAGACTACAAAAACGCAGAGGGGCCCTGTCTGTTAAAACTGCAGTTGTTTTGCAACTAGCCACTTAAGTACCAACATCTTTTTATTTAGTTTGTTCAAATGAAATCCCCGCTGTCGGGTTGGTTTCACCGGGCAGGAGTTTGTGCTCTGTCCGGTGAAACCAACAATATTATTTACAATTTACAGTCGTATGCAAGCAGACCCCAAACAAACAGTTAAAAGTATTTGGGAGGAATGGCATATATTCACTTTTTATTTTTAAAGAAATTGTGTCCAGCATGTGGTCACAACCTTTGCTTTCTAATCAATTTTCAGACATGTGATATGTATACAGTTAATGGGATCCTCTTTACACGACTCGTGGATAATCAAAGTTGGCTAACTCGGTATTAAAGCGAGACATAACTTAGCTCTCTGTAACGTGCCAGAAGAGAGGAGGTGTTTGTGTTCACATAAAAGAGGCAGAAATTTGATCTTTGACCCGGTTTAATGTTGCATTCAGCAGCTGCCCAGTGTTGTGATCCATGCTGGCATGTCTAACACATGGTGGGTTCAAGGTTGTCTCGCCAAAAGTGGCGGTGTGACAGGATAGTAAATGGGCTTTACTTGTGTAAGTTTTTCAATTCTGAGTTGACTCCCTCTGCTGAAGGTGGTGTTTTACTTCCAGGGGACTCTCCGCAGCGGGAGGATGTTGAACTCTGGTCATCTGTTTTTTAAAAAAGAGCGACCTCCGCTTTATATCTCGTGTGAGCTTGAACTGCAAATCAGTAAATATTTACTGTGCTCTTTTTCGTAAGTTCAAGGCGTCACGATCCAGATGTCAGATTTAATTTGAATGAGAGCTGAAGGCTGAAGAGAAACCTGGTGGGGATTTTAAAAAATTAGACACGTGGGGGAATTTGTGTCAACACGTGTGAACAACCTAAACGATAAGTAAGCAGCCAATTAAAGCGATTTCTGCTGAGACGGTCACATTTTTTCTAATGAGATAATGAGTATAAATGTAACCCTGTCCTGTTTCTCCCCTCTCTCTAACACGATGTGAGCAATCAACCACCGACTGTAGAGGTCACACTCTGGTGTAAAGTCATGTTTCTCCAGTAATTTGGGGGAAAATTTCTTTTTTTTTTTTAAGATTTCCGCACGCATCCACCGCTAAGACTGACAGACGAAGTCGGATAAAGTCCAGTCTTATGCTCTGCCTTCACTTTTGGCCTCCTGTTTTTTGTACACTGCAGCAGTTTCACACAGACATTGATCCCCCTCGCACGCCAGTGTAAGGTTACATCAATATGGCGAGGATGAAGCAGCACAACAGATCTGATGATTCAGTTTCAGGTCTGCTACACATCAGACTCGACTTGAAACGGGATCTGAACTCGATGATCAGACCCGGTCCCTGTGTTCTGTCCCCATTGATCTTTGGGGGGGGGGGGAGCTAACATTTACCAGTTTCATTAACTGGTAAGTGTATTGGAGCAACACACTGACAACTTAGCGTTTTACAGTGAACCCCTGACCTTTGACCTTTTTTAAATTAGGGCTTTATCTAACAAGTGTTCATTGATTTTAATATGTTTTTGTTTTGTGTCTTTCTGAGTACAATTCTGAGCCACAGAAAGTTCAATCTGAAACTCAAACAAAGACAAACTGTCCTAATAGCTGACTACAACTAATGTTTACTCTGCCAGGCTGATTATTTACTTCAAAAGTTACTTTTTATTTACTTACTTTAAAAAAAATCCTGCCAGTTGGAGTTGAATTGATCGTTATATCAAAGAGTAGGAAGCAAGAAACTTTCCCATCTCTGAAGATTTTTGCCTGAAATGCACAGCTTTTTTTTGTGGTTAGGCTCAAAATTTGTTTATTTGTGTACGTTGCTTGCAAAACACATAAATACATGTAAAACCAGTAGAAAATGTGGCCTAAATGAAAGAAAAACAGGGTAATTTAAGACACACAATACTTGTAATCTGTCACTACATTTAAACTGTTACTGTGACTGATACTCAGCTACTCTTCCTCACCATCCTCTCCCCTCCTGCTGCAGTGTTTTGGGTGTTTCCTCGAGTGGCCAGAGGCCGGCTACAAGCTCTGTCCCATTTTCCCCCACTATCTATTTCTAATATGTTCTCTTGCATAATGCATTAGGCTCCGAAAGCACAGGTGTATTTGTTAAGGCCAGATGTAGCCTTGATTTTCCCACCGGGCCCAACTAGTCAGACTGCTTCCTTCCAGGGCCGTGTATCATTCTGTGCTTTTAACATCGTAAAAACAAGTTCCAGCTCTTGTTCATGGCGGTAAAATGGTGACCAAAAAAACATGCGTGTTGCCGGACTCGGCTGGGGAAATTATGACCCTCCACCAGGCAGAGGACTGGTTAAATTTAGACCATGGCCAGGTGTTTTGTACTCTGCATACGGCAGGCATATTGGATTGATGCACTTTGGCGATGTTGCATTTATGCAGTGAAACATGAGGATTTTACTACGAGGAAATTAGGTTAAATTAATTAAAGCTGTGTTTTTAAGGTGGAAGTCAGTAAGAATGTACAAACGGACTTTGGAGCTTACCAACGACCCCAACAACAGACCAAAAAGTCTTTTTTTCCCCCTTGCAAACGGGTTGTGGTGATTTTGGTATATTTCAATCAACTTAATCTCCATTATTTCGCGTGAGACAGGTGTTGATGCAATTAAATAACAGTGGAAAAGGAAAAACAGAAGTGCAGATGACCTTTGGAAAGTTCAGTTACGACCACTACTGCTTGTTTATGTGTTTGCTAATGTTTCTCTGGTCACTGAACCGCACAGAAAATAAGTCAACTAATAGTCCGTTGATTGATAGTGTTTATCAGGCATGGCAGGTAACCTTTTTTAAAATTACGTTTGATCAGGTTTTTGGAAAAGCCCAAGGCCTCTTAAAACACACTCACCACATAAGTGACTATCTAAACTTTCACTACAGTTAAGAATCATCAAAACAGTATAATTGCTGTTTAGGGGATTTTCTTCAGCAGCAGCGATTCGTTTCAACCTGCTCCTGGTATCATTGGGCTGACGATTGCCACACGGGACAATACCCTGGAAAAAAAAAAAGCACCATAGAGGTTGAGTAATTAAAGGAAATCATTTGAAAGCCAGTTTAGTGTATTTTTTCGGATGCAGTAA